TTAGATAGAGATCTCAACCATAGAATACAAGCTGGATGGATGAAGTGGAAGAGTGGATCCGGCGTGTTGTGTGACCGCCGTATGCCACTGAAGCTCAAGGGAAAATTTTATAGGACGGCAATAAGGCCGGCGATGCTGTATGGCACAGAATGTTGGGCGGTGAAGCATCAACACGTACACAAAATGGGTGTAGCGGAGATGAGGATGCTTCGTTGGATGTGTGGGCACACGAGAAAGGATAAGATTAGGAATGAGGATATCCGAGGTAAAGTACGAGTAGCCGAAATTGTAGGAAAGCTGAGAGAAAATCGGTTACGGTGGTTTGGACATGTGCAAAGAAGGCCTACTGACGCTCCGGTTAGAAGATGCGACTACGGGACAGAGGTTCAGGGCCGAAGGGGTAGAGGAAGACCTAGGAAAACTTTGGAAGAGACTCTAAGAAAAGACTTAGAGTATTTGGATCTAACGGAGGACATGACACAGGACCGAGCACAATAGCGTTCTAAGATTCATATAGCCGACCCCACTCAGTGAAGAAGGCTTTGGTGTATTTAACACAATACGTTGAAATGAAGCAAAGCTTATTTACTGATATCTCCGATAAGTTACAAATATGTACATATACATGAGTCAAAATAAACAAACAAGAGGGAGCCTTCACAAAGGTTGCTTAGGAGAAGTCTCAGCAGTCGGTAAAGCCCCAGAAAGAGGAGGCACCGGAGAGGGATCATTCGGAGCCTCAGTACTGGACAGAACCCTAAAAGGAGAAGACATCGAAGGTTGATCATTTGGAGCTTCATTACGTGGTACAGCCCTAGAAGACGAACGCAATAAATGCCTTTGGAATAAACCCACAAACCGCTGATGATCAAGTAAAACCTGACCATCAGATTCCTTCATCTGGTCAAGCTTCCTCTTCATGTTTGTAGATAGTCATGTGCGAGCCGGTGCAACTGTTTATTCTCATGCATGAGCCTTCTAATCTACTGTTTAAGACTCATCACTTTAGCCGCCAATGATTCAACTTGGCGGGTTCGAGCAAATAGGCGTTGGGCCATATTAGACACAGAACCTGCACACTGAACACTTAGAGCCAGAGAATCCCTAACAGCCAACTCATCAGACCGTTTGGAAAGTAGTCTGTTATCTTTGAGAGTGAGAAGGTTCCTGGCCACCACCGCAGCAGTCATATCATTCTTCATCACGGAATCCCCAACGGTAAGACGACCAATAGGGGATAAGAAGGATGGGCGCCATATGTTGTCTGGAGAAGGCGTGACTGCCTCTTCAACAAGGTTCAAGTCAAAACGACGGTCGGAGGGGCCAGACATTTTCAAAGGTGTTGAAGACAGAAGAGGTCGGACAAATCAAGATCTTAGAAGTGCAAGAATGGAGCTTCTACTGGTGAAGATTTAAGTGTGCTTTGGAACTTAGTGCCAACCTCTATAAAAATCTGCACTCGACGGAGCTTCAGAAATCGAAGAGGCGCCTGCCTAGAAATCGAAAGGCGTTTGCTTTCTCAAAAGCTGGGCTGCTCAGAGACCACGAGGGCCGATCTTAGAAATCGAAGAGGCGTTTGCTTTCTCAAAAGCTGGGCTGCTCAAAGACCACGAAGGTCGATCTCAGAAATCGAAGAGGTGCTTGCTTTCTCAAAAGCTGGGCCGCTTAGAGACCATGAGGGCCGATCGCAGAAATCGAAGAGGCACCTGCTTTTTTCAGCCTTGTCAGCACCTATCACATGCACACTCAGCTTTGCTGAAATTACGGGCATTCTGTTGAAGATTTCTAGTGAAGTAGAAAGCACGTGAATCTTACTGTTCAATCATCCACTTTCCACACGCACCATCAGCTCATGGGTACCACAGATAACTTTGCTAAAGATTTCTGACAAAGTTTAAACACGTGAAGCTTGCAGCTCCCACTACATCGCTATGACCAAGAAGGGTAAAAGAATAGCAAAGAAACAGCACTAACAAAGTTTAGCCACATAAAATTTGAAGGTCTAGCTACCATATTATTACCCACAAGGGTAAAGGAACAGCACCACTGCTGGATAATTGGAAAGTCTCTGTGTATCAACCTCTGTGCTCCGTGGCAAGGTAGACTAGCAAACATGCCCAACCTTTACTCACATTCGAGAAAACATTCCCAACAAGATTGCTTGCTCCAAAATCGAAGAGGCACCGTCCTCCGAATCTCGAGAGCCAGACTCCCAACATGATTACTTTCTCAAAAATCGAAGAGACGCCGCTCTCCTATCTCGAGAGCCAGACTCCCAGCAGGATTGCTCTCTAAAAAATCGAAGAGGCACCGCACCGTTCTCCGAATCTCGAGAGCCAGATCCCCGACAGGATTGCTTGTCGAAAATCAAAGAGGTACCGCTTTCTCAAATTCGAGAGCCAGATCTCCTTGGATAAAGCTTGTCTGTAATCTTCACACGCAACATCAGCTTTCCAGATACAACAGACCACTTTTTCAAAGTGCTCTGACACACGTGAAGCTGGCAGCTCCTACTACCGTGCTATGACCAAGCAGGGTAAAGGAATAGCATTACTACTTGTTGTTAGGGAAACTCCTATATATGTCGACCTCCATCCTCAACGAACAAGCAGACTTGCAGAAATGCTCAACCCTTCCTCATATCTGAGAGGGTACTTCCAACGAAGCCTCTCGAAATACTCAGCTTTCTTTCCCCCCGATAATACCTCTGCAAACAAGCTACACCAAAGCAAGAATATCTCATATCATCAGGGTTAAAAGCAAGAGTATCCCATATCATGTTTTTTCGCTGTCTTTTCCTTTGGCCTTGTTCTTACCTGCAAGACAAGGAGAAAGAGAGCAATCAGTCAGCACTTGGAATCAAGCTTCCAGTCAGGAACTGACTGCTTGGAACCCCCTTACCTAATTACTTAACTGGCATTGCTCTCGAGTACTCATCTTCAACATCTTATGCTTCCAGAGAAGATACCACATCTGCCTGAGGAACAGATAGGGAAAATGAGAAGGATACAAGGAAGCATGTGGAGACAAGCGTAACAGAACACGTGCCGATACATCCACTACTTTGTCAACAGCAAAAGTATCCCATATCAGCAGGGTCGAACGTACTTTAGATTTGATGGACTTGTTTTGACTCTCAAATTCTTCAGTCGGCCTTATACTCTGGAGGAAACCAAAAAACCCTCCAGCCCAGTTCAAGAATAAGCCTGTGGAAAGTTACTTCTTCAAAAGCAAAAGTATCTCATATCATCTATTCTACTTTTCTTCTCTTTATGCTTCATGTTGCTTGCAAGATAGGGAGAATGAGAACAATCAGCCGGAACTCGAAATCAAACTTCTGATCTGGGACTGATTGCTTGGAGCTCTGATTGCTTACTTTGTCTGTCACCTCTTTCAGCATATCCCCTAGCTCGGCGACTTGGGGACTCCTACTGCATGGTTTGTATCGCGCTTGATCAAGCCTGAAACTACAAGTAAGCTTCAAGTGAAATTGATACATTACCTTGTGCATCTCCACCAATTAAAGATACCACCCCTGGATGGAGGAAGAGTACTTCCAGAGAAGATGCCACATCTACCTATGAGACAGATAAGGCAAGTGAAGATGATACCACACTTCGGTACTTAGAAGTTTCGTGATTACGAGATCATTCTCCCACAATATTTCCTAATGTCATTTGTACTAAATCATTCAATTGTACTCACTAAAGGAGAGCTTGAACCTATGTACTTGTGTAAACCCTTCACAATTAATGAGAACTCCTCTACTCCGTGGACGTAGCCAATCTGGGTGAACCACGTACATCTTGTGTTTGCTTTCCTGTCTCTATCCATTTACATACTTATCCACACTAATGACCAGAGCAATCTAGCGAAGATCACAAACTTAATACTTTCTGTTGTACCAAAGTCCTCACTGATTTTGTGCATCAACAATCCTTAAGTCCTTACCTTTTTGCGTTGGTAATGGATGAGTTAACAGGACATATTCAAGATGATATTCCTTGGTGTATGCTTTTCGCAAACGATATAGTGTTCATAGATGAAACTCAGGAGGGGTAAATGTGAAGCTTAACCTTTGGAGAGAAGTGTTGGAATCTAAAGGTCTTCGCCTAAGCCGATCAAAGACAGAATATATGGAGTGCAAGTTCAGTGCAAATGGAGGCCAAAATGAGTTAGGGGTGAGGATCGGAGATCAGGAAATACCAAGGAGCGACCGTTTTCGCTACCTAGGATCTATCTTGCAAAAGAACGACGAATTAGATGGAGATCTCAACTATAGAATACAAGCTGGATGGATGAAGTGGAAGAGTGCATCCGGTGTGCTGTGTGACCGTCGTAGGCCACTAAAGCTCAAGGGAAAATTTTATAGGACGATAATAAGGCCGGCGATGCTGTATGGCACAGAATGTTGGGCGATGAAGCATCAACACGTACACAAAATGGGTTTGGACATGTGCAAAGAAGGCCTACTGACGCTCTGGTTCGAAGATGTGACTACAGGATAGAGGTTCAGGGTCGAAGGGGTAGAGGAAGACCTAGGAAAACTTTGGAAGAGACCCTAAGAAAAGACTTAGAGTACTTGGATCTAAAAGAGGACATGACACAAAACCGAGCGCAATGGCATTCTAGGATTCATATAGCTGACCCCACTTAGTGGGAAAAAGCTTTGTTGTTGTTGTTGTTGTATCAATTATTCGAAACTACTAATGTCACAGCCCGTCTCGAATTATTGTTATCGATGGTGTGAAAAGATGAAATTGCCCTTGGACGTTTTGTGTGATTGTGTGGTTTAAGTTTAGAAGTGAACTAACTAATACATTAAGTTCCTAATATTTTGGAACCAATTAGGACTTAAAGTTGTTATGGTTTTGTGGTTGTTTGGAAGTCAAAAAATTTTGGACCACACACACACCCCAACTCCCTCTCTCTCCTTCCCGTGTACTTTCTCTTTCCTCCATTTCGATTCTCTTCTTTTTCCGTACAAACCGTATGGACAAACACCAACCCTCACAAAGCTTTGCAGATCGAACATTTAGAGGCCATGTTTGAGTTCCTTGTAACCTTAGGATCTTAACCATACCATTTTGAGGTCGTGAAAGCTTCAAAAACCCCATGAACTCGAACCCCAAATTTCATGCACTATTCATTCACTAATTCAATGTGAGGTTTTTAGGAGTTTTTACGGACATAGGGAGCTTTGAATCATCCTCACGAAGCTCGGAGAAGAAAAACCAAGCGATTTCGACGTCGGGAAATCGAGTTTGACGAGTTTTAAGTTTACACCGGATTATCAAGCTTTCTCCGGAGAATTTTCGTGGAATTCAAGCCTTGAAATTGGTAAGGATGTGTTCTTCTCGTTATAAGCTTTAAATTGAGACCAATTTCATGAATTTTGGTTAAGAAATGACTGAGATATCAAGGTTTTTCAAATTCCTAGTTTTCCGGCGACGGCAACGGTCACCGGAGTCGAAGGAAGCGGATGAGCAAATATTCCGTCAATTTTTATGGAATATTCTAACGGCATCAGGTTCGTTTTAACGGTATATGCTATTATTTAACGGAATATTCCCTAACGTCGTTAGGGTTACCGTCAGTGTGCCTAGCACATGCCCGCGCGTGGCCGGCACGTCTGGCCATGCCTTGGCCGGCGCGTGGGTGGTCGGAAAATTTTTCTTTAAAATATGAGGATTTTTGTGAGGTTGTGTAGGTCATGTTGGTATATTTATATACCTCATTTGAGAAATGTATGAGAAGTTATTAGCTAGTATTGGTTATGTGCTTTAATTAACGTTTTTATAGTTGTTTCACATATAGGGGAGACTTATCCCGATGACGAGCATAGTCAAGGGCGGCTCGGGGACTACAACCCTTCAACATACCAGTGAGTGGGCCTTTGGTTTTCAGTATATATTTATATACTTGATATTTTCCCAGAAAATGTGTTTAAATGAAAGTATGCTTGAAATGCCATGCATATAAATTTATATTCAGCATGTGAATTAGTATATGATGCATAATATGAATTGGTACGGTGGACGCTCATGTAGGTACCATATGAGTTATGTTTTGTTATATGAGATATTGATAATATGAGATGTGATTGAAAGCTTCTAAACCTGCACCTCGGGAAATTTTGATCTAGTCAGAGATATGGTTCAGGCCTGTTTATGATGTCACCTCCTACATCATATGCTCACATTGGATCCAATTTAGGTGCATAGCTTTGTCGTACAGACCATTATAGGTGGTTTCAACTCGTAGGTGACTAGCGATTTATCGCACAATTATCATGAGAGCGTAGCATTGAGCATAACTATATTACACCCAGTCTTGTTGTACAGACCCTTCCAGTGGTTCCGACTAGTGTGCAGAGTAGTGCCGTAAGGTCACCTGTAGTGACTCCGACTAGATTGATTAATGAGCTATGAATTCAGCTGTACAAACCTCTGTAGGGGTTCCGACTAATATGTTATTTTCCATGAATTTATTTTCACCTGAGTTACTTATTATGTTTTATATTTTGGCATGACATACTTAGGAATATAGATATGTGAAGCATGAATTGAAATATATGTGTGTATATATACTTATATATTTATATTTCATTTCTGGGAAAATTATACATGTTTTACGGCGAAAGGTTAGAGCGTTTGATAATGAAATGATTTTGAAAAACTTTGTTTTTGCCCACTCACACTTTCTGTTTTGCGCCCCTCCAGGTTTTAGGTAGACTTGATGTTGGTGGCATTTGAGGATCTTGGCGGTTCTAACAAAATATAATATTTGTAGGATATTTTCTGGTACTGTATAACTAGTACTTGTTCTACTGGACTGCACCTAGACTTTCTATGCTCTGATTAGGTGTATTTACACTTGTATCTCATTCTTAACACTTTCTGCTTATTAGTGCACTTTAGTTAACTTTCGGTTTTATTTATTTGTATATTTCTTATCCTTATCGCTCCCGCACTGTAAACATGGCTACATCACCCTCACGTGATGACCAGCACGCCTTGATTTTTGGTCGGGGTGTGTCAGTTTGGTATCAGAGCCTAGGTTTAACAGTCTTGTATATCTTGTGAAAGATCTAATCATTATGATGTCTTATGTCAGAACTATGTCGCCTCGTAGAGAGCCACGTCACTCAGCTGAGCCTAGTTTCCCTGATATTGCTCAGTTAGGGGAAGCTATAGCTAATGCCATTCAGTCTTCGCTTCGTCCTCCTCAAAGGACACCTCTTTAGACTGTGTATAATCTGAAGCTGAATCATTTCATGGGTAATGAAGGACATGAGGGAGCGGAGAAGTGGCTTAATCATATCGAGAAGACTTTCCTTGTGATGCAGAGTCAGGGGAATCTTCCTCCTAATAGGTGGGTTAAGACGACTACCTAGTTTCTGGGTCCAGAACCTGCATCCTGGTGGAGACAGGAGTCATATCAGATGCCACCAGAGGTAGTAGTTGATTGGGAAGTGTTTAAACAGTTGTTTTGGAAAAGGTTTATTCCCCTGGAGTATATTGATCGCAAGAAACAAGAATTTACGCATCTGAAACAAGGAAAGATGACAGCGAATGAATATTACAGAAGATTCACTGATTTATCTCGATATCATCCAGAGGTTGCTGTTAATCTGGTTGAGATGCTCCGTCGTTTCAGGTTGGGTACTAAGAAGAAATGGCATTCTATAGCGACATCGACTCCCTTTGCCACTTACTAGGAGTTTTATGAGGTTTTACTACGGATTGAGGACTTAGAGAACATGCCCAGTGAAACTGAAGATGAAGAAGAAAAGAACGGGAACCAGAGGCGAGATGATAAATGTCACGCCCCGATCCCAACATACATCCAGGATCGACACGTGACGCCACCAAATACTTGTATATCTAACATACCTTGCCTCCTAGATATGAATAAAGCACCACTCAAGGTCCAAATTTGCATAGTAATTTCCATATATTTTATGGCTGCATCTAACCTTCTCGTTAGACTACCTACGTACCCTCAATAGGGATCAAGCCATTCATAGTTCGTCACTCACTACCCATCTACATTTACCATAGTACATTCAAGCCAAAAGATATAACATTCCTTAATCAATCATTAGAACTTGACAAGTATGGAAGTACTAGATTCAAGGCTACATAACAATCCAATATGACAATCAAGGTTTCCATTCCACCCATCATATAAGTCACTATGTTTTCAACATAATATTGCAATCCAGTCATGTAACATATCAAGGATCAACCAAGCACACTATTTTTCTCTAGTCACATTCATTAACTAATCTAATCGTATTAATAGCAACTATATCCAACGTCATTCCACAATCCTGTCAATTAATCAATTCATGAATCAAAGATGCATGATTTTAACTTTTAACTATATTAATCAACCAATGAGATAACATAAAATTTCACCAATTCAATTAGAGAAATCTGTATAATTCTCTACTTAGGTTATGAGTAATAACATGGTATATAAATTCACAAGGTCTATTGTGGGTAATTCCCATTCACTCGAATCTAGGATTCCGGACCACTCAAGGAATCTAATAACATCGGGTTCTGGACCCCTTAACGGAAACAAAATATCAAGTATAGAATCATGCTTTATGAAATCATAATTAAGTCGTTGAAAACTGCGAAGAAGTCACCTAGACATCCAACGACTTTTCTAATTCAAACCACAAGATTCCCAAAAACCATTGTTCATATGTACATTAAAAACTAGGCTAAAGGGACGCAATTCGGCCGAAGCCTACATCTTGGAAGCTATCTCAATCCAACTCAATGAAACCCGAGGTGGATACGATCCAGGACCACTAATGACCCCCAATGTGGATTAACCAAGCAGGGTCAAGATAATCAAGTAGGTAGTGACCCCCCAACGCGGATTAACAAGCAGAGTCACACCTAAATAACTGTTAGGCAGTGATCACCCAATGCCGATTAACCAAGCATGATCACCCTTAAGTATAAATGGCCATAAAGATCGCCCAACACGGATTAACCAAGCGCAATCCATATATAGTATGGTTCCCCAATGCGGATTAACCAAGCAGGACCACTAATGACCCCCTATCGCGGATATACCAAGAAGGGTCATGGTCTCCTACTAGCCCTCAATTTAACAACCATTCCAATATGCAATTCAAGTCACTTTTCCAAAAATATTATCAATCCAATTTACTTCACTTCATGATGATTCACAACATAAATATACTTCTTACATAACTTTCTCATTACTCAAAGAACTTAGGGAATAATGCAATACCAATGCAAATCATAATTTCCATTAATGAGATTTTTCATAATCACCATGGAAATTTCACCACAAACACAATGCAATTCATATATGTATCTCAAATATATATGTGTCCATATATCAGATGCATGCATCTTTATGCCCAAAAATTATGAAATCATGTAACCACAATGCATATTGTAATTCACGCCAACAAGACTCGAGATGGTTCCATATCATAGAATAGGATCATTTGCTCTGATATCATTAAAATTGCCATGCCCCGATCCCAACATACGTCCAGGATCGACACGCGACGTCACCAAATACTCGTATATCTAACATACCTTGCCTCCTAGATATGAATAAAGCACCACTCAAGGTCCAAATTTGCATAGTAATTTCCATATATTTTATGGCTGCATCTAGCCTTCTTGTTAGACTGCCTATATACCCTCAATAGGGATCAAGCCATTCGTAGTTCGTCACTAACTACCCATCTACATTTACCATAGTACATTCAAGCCAAAAGATATAACAGTCCTCAATCAATCATTAGAACTTGACAAGTATGGAAGTACTAGATTCAAGGCTACATAACAATCCAATATGACAATCAAGGTTTTCATTCCACCCATCATATAAGTCACTATGTTTTCAACATAATATCGCAATCCAGTCATGTAACATATCAAGGATCAACCAAGCACACTATTTTTCTCTAGTCACATTCATTAACTAATCTAATCGTATTAATAGCAACTATATCCAACGTCATTCCACAATCCCATCAATTAATCAATTCATGAATCAAAGATGCACGATTTTAACTTTTAACTATATTAATCAACCAATGAGATAACATACCATTTCACCAATTCAATTAGAGAACTCTCTATATAATTCTCTACTTAGGTTATGAGTAATAACATGGTATATAAATTCACAGGGTCTATTATGGGTAATTCCTATTCACTCGAATCTAGGGTTCTAGACTAATCTTATGGGAATGAGCGAAAGCAAGGATTCCAAACCACTCAACGGAATCCAACAACATCGGGTTCTGGACCCCTTAATGGAAACAAAATATCAAGTATAGAATCATGCTTTATGAAATCATAATCAAGTTGCTGAAAACTACGAATGAGTCACCTAGACATCTAACGGCTTTTCTAATTCAAACCACAAGATTCCCAAAAACCATTGTTCATATGTACATTAAAAACTAGGCTAAAGGGACGCAGTTCGGCCGAAGCCTACATCTTGGAAGCTATCTCAATCCAACTCAATGAAACCCGAGGTGGATACGATCCCGGACCATCACTCAACGGAATCTCGGAGTAGGAAGTATTTCGAACCATCTCTCAATGGAATCCAAGTGGATACGATTCTAGACCATCACTCAATGGAATCGCGGAAGGCCAACAACCATATATATACGGCTCAAATAAATGAGAAGCACAAGTTACTTAATTTACAAAAGCTCAACCAAGGGAAATAAGGCACAAATACTAAATTTAGAATGAATCAACGAAGTGGGAGATGAAACCATATCGAAGCAACAAATCCCCATCACCACGGGTTAACGGTCTACCATTAGTCATTACATTTCATCACAACATGTCAATCAAACCAATCAAACCATATTTCAATATATACATGTCAAATCTCATTTCATAAAC